TCCTCCCTAGCCATGTTTTCTAGACGATCCTTTCTCTCAAACCCGGGGCCACACTGCCAGCCTGTCTGGAGGAAGGGCATCTCTCGCTTTCTGACAGGTCTGAGCCCTGAGGACTGCGCCCTCTCCCACTTGTGGTGCTCAAAGCTGCCCTTGGAGGCCGGGTCAGGGCCCAGTGGGGACACAACCTGCCGGGGTTGTCATTCCACACAGGGTGTGTGAGCACAGAGCAGCCAGGTACTGTTGCAGGTGTGGACAGTTGTCTGTGGTCATTGAGGACCACAGTCCCTTTGGTGCTCACATTCCACTGAAGTTCTTGACAATGACGTTGTTGGAGAGACTCACATCCACCCTGATTTCCAGGTTACCGGCTAGCCTTGAGGCAGCTGCCCACTTGTGCCTGCCTGCCTGCCCTTTCTTACTTTCTCTTTCTCTTTTTGTTTTTTGAGCAGTCTTCTTTTTCTTTTTTTTTTTTTCTTTTAAGATTGATTTATTTAGTTTTATTGGAAAGACAGATTTACAGAAGAGAGAAAGAAAGATCTTCCATACGCTGCTTCACCCTCCAATGGCTGGAACCAAGCCAATCCAAAGGTAGGAGCCAGGAGCTCCTTCTGGGTTTCCCATGTGCGTACAGGGTCCCAAGGCTTTGGGCCGTCTTCAACTGCTTTCCCAGGCCACAAGCAGGGAGCTGGATGGGAAGCGGAGCAGCGGGGACATGAACTGGCATCCATATAAGATTCTGGTGTGTGCAAGGCAAGGACTTTAGGCTAGGCTACTGTGCTGATCCTATCTTCTTTCCTTTCCTTTCCTTCCTTCCTTCCTTCCTTCCTTCCTTCCTTCCTTCCTTCCTTCCTTCCTTCCTTCCTTCCTTCCTTCCTTCCTTTCCTTTTCTTTCTTTCTTTCTTTCTTTCTTTCTTTCTTTCTTTCTTTCTTTCTTTCTTTCTTTCTTTCTTTCTTTCTTTCTTTCTAGATTTATTTCATTGTTATTGGAAAGTCAGATCTACAGAAAGGAAGAGAGAGAGAAGAAGATCTTCCATCCATTGATTCACTCCCTAAGCAGCCACAACAGCCAGAGCTGAGCCGATCTGAAGCCAGGAGTCCACGAGCTTCTTCTGGGCCTCCCACACTTTGGGCCGTCCTTGACTGCTTTCCCTCAATTGCTTTTGGATGGGAAGCAGGGCTGCCAGGATTAGAACCGGTTCCCATATGGGATTCCGGCACATGCAAGGTGAGGACTTTAGCCACTAGGCTACCATGCTGGGTCCCTGCCTTTACCTTTTTTTTTTTTTTTAATATGTTTTGTTTATTTCAAAGGCAGAGCAATAGAGAGGGGGTGGGGAGGAGATTGTGAGTGAGCCAAGTGAGCCCACAGCAGCTGGAGTGCACCAGGCCAGAGCCAGGAGTCAGGACCTCCTATGGGGTCTCCCATGTAGGTGGCAGGGAGCTGTGTCCTGGAGCTATCACCCGTTTCCTCTTGGGCTGTGCATTCGCAGGACTGGATTGTTATCAAAGGCAGGTCTTGAACACAAGCTCTCAGAAATGGGATGGCAGGCCAGTGAATCCCCAGAGATCGGCTGTGCCACAACACCTGCATCATCCCTTGTGGATTTCAATCCCTTGTGGTCAGGGGAGGGCGGGGAAGATGTGAGTCACAGAGCACACTTAGGGTCCAGGACTAGCTCAACAGCAAGGGGTTGCCCTTCGGAAAGGGGTGTGGGTGTGGGCATATTTGGACAAAGCTGTAGTCCCATGGCAGCCTTGGGCGAGAAGGTGAGGTCACATGCTCCAGGATTCTTTAAAAAAAAAATGTTCACTTAGATATTTTCACTTTTATTTGAAAGGCAGAAATAGAAAGGCAGAAAGAGAATGGCCCATTGTCAGTTGGTGATTCCCCTCCCAAATTCCTGCAAGCACCATGGCTGGGCTTGAAGCCAGGAGCCTGGAATTTGACACAGATCTCCTGAGTGGGTGGCAGGGACCCCGGTACCTGTGTCATCGTCTGCCCTCGCCCAGCGTGCACATGAGCAGAAGGCTGGAAAGGAAGCAGAGTAGCTGGAACTCAAACAGGGCCCTGTGCTGAGACGGGATGCAGGTGCCCAGGCAGCCACTTAGCTGCTGTATGACCCCTGCCCTCCTCTCCCCTAGCTGGTCTTGGGTTGGGCACAGCATGCCCGCAGCTTTTTTCTGGCTCTTTCCTGGGCAGCCAGGTCACGTTCACTTGTGCACTGACTGTGAACACCAGGACATTAGGACAGTTTGTGGACTCCCTGCAATGGATGTGTGTATCCACACCTGTGACCACACACACACACACACACACACACACGCATGTACTCTGACTGTCCCCACCCCCTCTGCCCCCAGCTGCTCCCTCCTGAAGCCCCCAGGGAGTCTCCCACATGTCTCACACTGTCTATGTGGGGGAGGCCCTGTGGGTAGTGGGGAGGAGGAGGGCAGGGCTGTTGGAAACTTTAGTCAAGCAGAGCGGTGAACAGCTGCAGAGATGCCTTAGGAAACACTCGCAGTGCTGGCTGCCACGCCCTTTAGTGGCTTTTCTGAAAACGGTCTGGTGAGTCCCAGCCTGATCAAAGTGACAGTGATGGGACAGGCAGCCCCCAGACACAGAACCCTCCATCCATGAGGGTCCTGATGGGTGCTTACCTCCTGGACACACCCCAACAGGCCTCCCCAGCACACATGCATACCAAGCACCCCTGCCTCTCTGTTTATTTTTAAAAGATTTATCTATTTTTATTGGTAAGGAAGATTGCAGAGAGAAGGAGAAACAGAGAGAAAGATCTTCCATATGTTGGTTTACTTCCTGAGTGGCCTCAATGGCTGGAGCTGAGCTGATTCAAAGCCAGGAGCCAGGAGCTTCTTCTGGGTCTCCCACGTGGGTGTAGGGTCCCAAGGCTTTGGGCTGTCATTTTACTGATTTCTTAGGCCACAGGCAGGGAACCGGATGGGAAGTGGAACAGTCTGGATATGAACTGACACCCATATGGGATCCTGGCCCATGCAAGGTAAGGATTTAGCCACTAGGCTACTGCGCCAGGCCTGTACCCCTGCCTCTTCTTACAGCTAGCTCTGAGCTGACAAGTGTGTCTCCCCACCCCCATGATCACTTTCTCTGGGGCCAGCTCTGAAAGCTTGGCCCAGGGCCCGCTATACATCAGCTGCCACAAAGGCTGTTAGCCTGTGGTTTGGACATTTTCCTCTCCACCTGCAGGAGGGCCGTTGGGGGATAGAAGGGACAGACGTTGCCCACAAGGCCATGGGTTTTTTCCATCTGCCTCTTGGGGTCGGTTCCTAGTGCCATCGCCGTATGGAAGGCCTTGGGAGTCTCTCTGTGAGGGACGGCATCTTGGAAACTGAAGTTCTGGAACCACTCTGGGGGACTGCTGCCCGGCAGGGCTGGTTAGCCCTTCCCTGATCTCCTCCGTTAGTCGGTCGGGCTCTCACCACTCACAAGGGCCTGTCAGGCTTTGGCACCCTCTCCTTCCCCACAAAGGCCGTTTCCTTTCACAGCTGAGTAAGTACAGAGCGGCAAGAGCTGGGCTTTGTAGAGGGAAGTTCTAGGAAAGCAATACTAATAAAATAAGAAATTCTCAGTAGCCTTAGAGTCTGCACACTCCCCACCCAGGCCTGCCCTGGGTTCTCGGCCTCAGAGGGCTAGGAGGCTGTGGCCCTTGGCAATCCCTGGGTACCTGCTCCTCTCCCCACTCAGGCATTTGTGCCCAGGTGTTGTCAGAGCTGTGCCAGAATGGGAAGGAAGAAGGGGCCGAGGGCCACAAGTGTGATCAGCTGGTGAGCAGAGGGGCCAGGGAGAAGCTGTGAGGAGCGAAGGAGGGAGGCAGGCATGCTGACTCGACAGTGTAGGTCCACGTGTCTCCTCCCAAAGCCATTTAATCCCCAGGAAGGGCTTAGCAATAGGTGCAAAACCCATCCCTATGTTGCCTACAGAAGACAAATCTGACCAACAAAGATAACTGGAAACTATATTTCATGGATTTTGATTTTTTAAAAATTTACTTTCATCTCTTCAAGACACTTTTTTACTCATTAAATTCTTCACTGATTCGTAGGTCATGCAGTAGCATCATTTTCTTCAAGGAGGTTCTTGATTTTCTTTTTTATTTCTTCAGTGACACATTAGTCATTCAGTAGCATGTTAATTAACTTCATGGCATTTTTAGTATATGTGCTGCCGAAGCGAGCACAACTTCATGGCATTTTTTATTTCTTCTTCCTGTTGTTGATTTTATTTTGTGGCTTTTCATTTAAGAGTGTGTATAGTAGCTGTGTAATGGAGACTGTCATATCCAGTAGCATGTTATTTAATTTTATGGCATTGTAGATTTCTATTTTTCTTTGAGTTGTTGAATTTGTATTTAAGGGGATGTATAGTAACTGTGTAATGGAGACTATCATATCCAGATGTGAGGATACAATGCAGTATGCATCTCTATTTCCAGATCAAAGATGGACTCCCAATGAAACTGTTTACTATATCTTGACAATAGGATGCTGGACTCTGCCATTGTCCATGCCTGCAATGATAGACATAGGACTGTGTATGAAGAACTAAACTATAGCAATGACATAGGGGAACTCAGAGTGGGGAGGGGAACTTGGGGAGGAGATAAGGGACATCTCAGGGATTATAGAACTGTATCATAAAATTATAATAATAATAAAAAATTTGAAAGTAAAATAAAATAGAAGATGTCTTTAAAAAAGAAATAGGTGCCTGTGATTAGCATCCTCACTTGTTAGTTCCCAAATCCCCGAGTGGAAAGTGGGGTGAGGGGTTGTGAGTTCCCACTGGAGGAGTCAGCTAATCAAGATTCCTTTCAGGACTCACATCTTCTGGGAACCCAGGATGCTGAGGTGCTGGGATTCCAAGCCAAGACCCCCACCCTAGTTGGGTTCAGAGGGGGATGGGGCTTTGCCCTGAAGAAACAATAGGGTTGAATTTCTGGAGTCAGTTGGTCCCCAGAGAGCGGCAAATAGTTACACACACACACACACACACACACGTCCTAGGGAACAGGGCTTGCCAGGAACGAGGAGCCGTGGGAGCCAGCACTGCCACAGTAGCGTTGGGAAGGTGGGGTTAAGATACCTGGCTCCTCTGCCCTGGGCTCTGACTGCAGTATCTGCCCCTGCCATGTGGCCTGCACTCAGCTATGCCTCCTCTTCACTGAGCCCATTTGAGATGCACTCCCGTCTTCCTCTTTTCTGATTGTAAGTCACAGGGTCAAGTGCTGAGTGGTGCGGCCACAGAGGGAACTCGGAGCTCTAGAGTGAGCAGGGTGAGAGAGCAGAGGGGCTTAGCAAGCAAGGGGGCTTGGGGGGAGGGCAGGAGTGCTGCAAAGGACCATGGCGGAGGCCATCACCTACGCGGAGTTGCGGTTTGTGAAGGCTCCTCTGAGGAAGAATGTCTCCAACACGGGGCAGGGTAAGGGCGCCTGCAACCCTTTCATCTCCTGAGTGTACAAACCTCCAACCACCAGCCCCATTGCCATGGAGCCTCCCCTCCTCCTCTCCTCTCCCGTCCCCTCCCCTCCCTGCCCTTCTCTCTCCTCCTCTCTCCTCTCCTCTCACAGACTCTGATGAGGATGGGGAGGTCACCTACGAGAATGTGCAGGTACCTTCAGCCCCAGAGGCGCCCGCAGGTCTGACGCTGCCCTCCGGAGCAGGGGACCAAACAGGTATGATGAGCCCAGAGGAAGTGTGTGTGTGTGTGTGTGTGTGTGTGTGTATGTTCTGTGTTGGAGCAGGGGAGTTAACAATGGTCTCTAGAGGATGCTATGCTAGGTTGGGAAGGGAGAAGGGGAGAACAACCTGTCAGGTGTCAGCAGCATGCCAAAGCCTGTGCAGTCCTTGTGGGGGCTGGGCAGGGTCTGGGGCAGCCCTGGGAGCTGAGCTTGGATGATCAAGGAGCCATGGGGTGGAGGTAGGAGGAAGGGTAAGGTAGATACTGGAGAGCAATCAGTCTGGAGGAGAGTTGGATGTCAACCCATCCCTACCCTGAAACACTATAAAGGGACCCCTGGGAGAACCAGGATGGGGTTCCCAGGGGAGTGTTCAGGTTGACACACTGGGAAGAGTCCTGAGGTGATCAGGAGCCCTGTGGGTGGCGAAGGCATCCCAGAGCAATGGCAGGTGGAGGGTATCAGCGGGGCCACGGTGGGGGGAGGGGTGGGTCTGTGGCAGGAGCTTGCCTGTTTGTCTGCTGCCACCACTGCTCTCTTCCCAGTGGTCCAGATAGAGCAGCAGCCAGCCACGTCCTGGAGCAACACTGCCTCCCCAACTACCAAGAGGATATACCTGTGTGAGTTCTGTCCCCTTGGCAGCTGTGCAGGAACCTGGGGAGGCAGGGAGAGAGAGAGAGAGAGAAGGTTGTGGATGTGAAGAATTCACGCATCCTCCAGAGCATGCCTTGCCTGGAAATGAGCCTTTCTGATGTGGCCCCAGAGGAACACCCCACCCCTGGGACGTTCTCATGCCTGTCCCTCCACACCCATTTCCTCTCTCACCTGAGAGTTAGTTCCACTTGATACCAGGCGATGACTCCTCCTTCCACTTAACCAGAAATAACATCCAGCATCTATTCTGGAACATTCTACTTCTTTACCTCCAAATCACTCCATCACCCACGGTAGATGGCCATTGCTTACTCCCTTACTTATGCAGGCATTTCTTAGGGATGTGGTCCTCAGGGTCCCTCCACTCCTGCCCTAGCCCCTCAATTTTCCTTCCTCCTTCTGTGAAGGTCATGGCCACCCCTGCTGCTCACAGCACCTCCTGCTGGTTCTGCTCCCCACCTGCCTGCTGCTGGGGGTGGCTGCCATCTGCCTGGGAGTGCGATGTGAGTATGGCTGACCCTGGCTTCCCCTTTACCCCAAGCCACCTTGTCCCTGCTTTCCCCAACCTCAGTTACACTTGCTCAGGACGCCCACAGCCACATCATGTACATGCTCAGGTTTGTGGCTGGTCCCCCGTGCTATCTGCCCACAATTACCCCCATCTTACCTAATCACCAAGCTTTTGGCTACAAATGTCCTATTTCAGCCCTGGTGGGCAATGGTTCAAGACCCAGAATAGGGGTCGATGGCACAGTGTCAGAGCTCCAAGCGTGGCTGGATCAGGTGTTCACATTCCTCTCACACCCCATCTCCATCCTGTGTCTATCCAGATCAGCAGGTGTCTCAGCAGTTTGGGCAGCTGAGCATGCAGCTGGAAACTACCAACAACAGCCTTCAGGAGCAGCTTCACTTTGGAACTGTCCAGCTGCAGCATATGGAAAAAGACCTGCTGGACTCCAAGGAAGAGCTGGCCCAGAGACAGAAAACACTAGAAGGGGAGTTGAAGGCGCACCAGGCTGCACATGAACAGCTGCAGCTCTGTCAGGCCGACAGGGAGAAGATGCAAGAGACCCTGCAGAAGGAGGAGGCACAGAAGCAGACTATGCAGCAGATGCTGAGCCACCTGCAGGGCACACTGAGGCCCTTCTTCACCTGCCCCTCACAGGGTACCTGCTCTGGGCATGGGGGAGCCGGAGGGGCTGGCTGAGTGTGAAGAACCAGGTGAGGGGGCACCAGGGACAGGGGTCTGGGGGCAGTCAGGAGTTGTCCAGGAGAAGGACAGTGCAGCAGATCTGGGGGTGACAAGAGCTAAAATGCCAACAAAGAGAAGGATGAAGCTGCATGCTGGTTAGGAGGATCCCTTCAGCTCCTAGGGTGGCAGCCTACAGTGCAAATCAGTTCCACTCCAATGATGTCAGCAGCAGGGGTCTAGAAACTCCAAGACTCTTCATGAAGTTGGTTCACTTGGTTCCAAAGGACATAGCTTCACTTAGTGCTTGCTCCTGTGGAGACCACTTGAAGATGAACAATCACTGGCCGCTCCAGGTGCAGGGTGGTATAGGGCAAGGTGGCTGAAATTCACATGTGGACCTCACGAAGAGATTGGTAAGATGGGAGGGTTCAGGGGTTTAAGTGTGGCAGACACTGCCCCACCTGGTCTACCCACTTCGAAAGCAGTGATGGAGAAGGGACACATGGAAGGGAAAGGCCAGGCTTAAATAGTCTGGGGTCTGTGCCAGGGCTCACGGGTACTGGCACGCAGAGGTCTTGGGAGTGTGGTCAGGGTTGGGCTCTGTGTGTCTGAGAGGGCAGGAAGAGTGTGTGCAGATACCTCCAACTGTCATTTCCTGAATCTTCTGCTCTGTGCTGTGAGGTTCATGCTAGGGCTGCCCTGTTCCCAGAGTATCCCCGACTGCTCCTCCACTGAAGAATGCCTACTGTGATGCCAGTTTCTTCCACCCACACCTCTGCCACCTCACAGAGGTCCACGGCTCGTGGCACCTCCTCTTCCTCTGTCGCTGCCTCCTATCTTCACTTCTCTCCCTGCCCATGCTGAGGTTCAACCATCACCCAACACTCACTCACTGTGCCACTATACTTTGCATATGTTTGACTGGCAAGATTTGATCTCTGCAGGAACTCTGTTGACCACTGCCGCATCGGAGAATTGTTCTGCCTGGCGTCACTGAGTTGCTAGTTTCAAGCACTGCCTGGAATCCTAGGCATTGGCCAGTGCAGCACCCCCATAGTATCTCTCCTTTCTCCACATTTGCCAGATACCTTCATCTCATTCCCCAAGGCCAGCATGCTGCAATGCCAAGTCTGCAGAGCTGTTTGACTTTTTCTTTATTTCTATTTTTGATTTGTTCCTAGCCATTCTTCTTTTTTAAAACAGATTTATCTTTATTGGAAAGTCAGATATACAGAGAGGAGGAGAGACAGAGAAGATCTTCCGTCACTCCCCAAGTGACTGCAACGGCCGGAGCCAAGCCAATCCCAAGTCAGGTGCCAGGAGCTCTTCCGGTCTCAAGGTTTTGGGCCATCCTCTACTGCTTTCCCAGGCCACAGGCAGGGAGCTGGATGGGAAGCAGGGCCACTGGGATTAGAACTGGTGACCATATGGGATCCTGGCGCTGCAAGGCGAGGACTTTAACCATTACACTATCGTGCTGGGCCCCCTAGCCATTCTTTTTATTGGAGCCAGGAAAGCCCTTCATAAACAAAAATCTGCTCATGCTATCCAAGTCTAGCTCATGTCATTCTAGTTGCTTGATCACAGTTAAGGGAATCCATGTGGCAATGACTTGAACACGGCAACAATTCGAACATGTGGTGGCGACTGCTTTAAGGAGCAAAGGAGAATGAATGGGTACAAGGACTTGTGGATAGTTACAGGTGTCTGAGGTGTACTGCAAAGCATTCAGGAATGAGCTGAGAGGTGGGGGTAGAAATACTGTTCCTATGGACACTTCTGGAATGTGAGGAAGTCATGCTATTGAGTGTGAAGGCCTTTTACTGCATGTACATACAGTGTATGTTCCATGGTGGAGGGGGCAGAGAAGGGCTGAGGAGGAGTGCAGAGTTCTGGGTCCACAAGTCCACAGACTGATGGCCTCAGACTCAGGGTGTGGTTAGCAGCCAGACCACGAGTGTATCAGCTCATCCTCGACATTGCTGTCCCCACTCTCTCCCTGCTTTCTAGACACCTGCTGTATGGTGGGCTGGAGACTGATCCAGAGAAGATGCTTTTACATCTCACTCACTAAGAGAGATTGGCAGGAAAGCCAGAAGTATTGCAAGTCACTGTCTTCCAACCTCACCACTATCAGAGACACTTGGAGTTCTTATTCAGAAGTAAGTAAGTTGGAGGAAATGCCATTTGACAGAGATGCATCCTCGGGTCGAGATTGGCAGTGCACTCTGGCCCATGTGTCTTGGCAGACGCAGTCACCATCCTTAGCACTGAGTGGCTAGCAGCTTTTCCACTCTCACAGCGCAGTGCTGTGGGCAGCCCTCCTGGCCAGCTGGCACTGGCAGGAAGTCTTAGTCAGCTGGGGCATGGCCCTTAAGGAGCACAGATCCGGGTCACCCATGGGTCAGGCACCACAGGCAGGCTCGGTCCTCCATCAGAGGATTGTCCTCTGTCATGCATTTTTGGCTACACAGCTGTGCCCTCTGAATCTTCTTTCAGAGTTCTCCCTGGAAGGGCTTATTGTCGGAGTTATCCCAGGACACTCCATATTGGACTGGCCACAGCTTAATCAAGGACCAGTGGTGGAGTTCAAGGTGAGTTTGTTGGGAGGTTTGAGTGTTTCCAGCACTATATTATCTCCTAATAAAGACATGCCTAATAAAGACATTCCTCCTTAGATCCTGATTCCAGAATGTTTCCATAATGTACATTCACCTTTTTATTTTCCTCAACTTACAAACTTTTGAACAGTGTTAGTATTTATTCTATTCCATAGTATATAGAAGTCTCTTGTGCAGTTAAAAATAATGAAATAGTTAGAGAAGCTGATTTTTTGCCAGGGTTTTAGAGCTGATGGTAAACCTGGGCATTCTGACTTGCCATCCCTAAACACACCTGCCCAACTGAGGCTTGCTGTACCAGTCAGGGCCACTGGGGGCGCTAGAGCGGAGGGTGAGGTCTGAGACAAGGTGGCCCCTTGCTTGTGTTCCTGGTAACTGGAGTGTTTCTGTCCTAAGGACTTCAGGTGACTGGTCCTCCCCTAGCTCTCCAGCCTTTTTGGTTGTCATCCAGAGATCTGGAGTGTTAAGACTAGGTGAGGTTTCTCTCAGTGCAAGGTGCTGCAGGGAAGATAGTCTGGGAAGGTGCAGTAATCACTTGATTTGACTTTACCACCAGCTGGTGTTCCGCAATAGAGCAAAGCTATTACAGCTCTTTATGGTATCAGAAGACAAAGGAGTGCAGTAGCTCTTTTCCCTGCATCTGTGAGATGGCGTCTTTCAGGTTTCCAGACGGGGACTACTCTTTGCAGAATTCAGGTAAGAGAGGACCAAGGGCTGTGGAGTGGTGGGTCTGGGGCAGATGGGTGCAGGTTGGGATCCCAGAGGTCAAAGGGAAAAGTTTTCCCCGAGGATGGAGTGTGGCTTGGTTGGGCATGGATAGGGGCAGGTGAACACCCAGCGTTGAAGGGACATGATGAAGTGGCTGTCTAGGGAGCTGGGTGTAAGGGAGGAGTGGGCTGAGTGAAGGCTTGATGGCAGCCAAGTGTGGAGCTCACTGATGCTTTATTCTTACAGGTGTTCATGCCTAGAATCCGCTGGGCTGTCGCCTCTGTCCTGGGGCCTGCAGTGCTTACCATCTCCTCACTGGACAGAGTCTATTCAAGGCCTGACCCACACCTGACATTTGTCACCAGCACTCTGCCTGCCTCAAACCTTGTCCCAGAAATTGGTGTGTTCCTGGGAAAAGGATGAAGAAGCTTCTAGAAGGGACTCTGGAGCTTATGCCAAGAAACATGCTCTGGTGGTATGGGAGTGGAGACGGGGAGGAGGGTGCATGGGCTGAGTGGTTGAGGGCAGCCCAGAGCCAGCTAGGCAGTTTGACTGAAATTGGTTGAAATAATGTACACGTGTTAGTCTTGTGTGTCAGCAACGCTGTGTGTGGTTTGATAAGTCCCGCGGGAGAATGAGTCCAGACGTTGGGCCAGACAAGTGCTGTGTCCCTCGAGTTGTTGCTGAGGCTCCCCTACATGGGGAGCAGAGCCAGTCAGCCTGGCCAGGGTTGGCACTCTGTGTTCACAGGTGTGTTCTGAAGGCCAAAGGTAGAGGCCTAAGAACTCCGAGGCCCCACTGCTAGGAGTGTGCCCCAAGAAGCTATAGGCTGGACGTGGGTGGCTTGGTGTGGTGCCCTTGATGACCTAGGAGACTGCCCGTTTCAGTTGAGGTTGCCATAGTGGGTGACAGCTGGTGTGGGACACAGGCACAAGGACAGTAAGTTGAATCTAAAGGGGCTGAGGCAGCATCGGAACAGTGCAGCCTGTCCTTGAGCTCTCAGGGAGCTGTCACTCCAGGGCGGCTGCCTGGGACAAGCTGTGCTGAGTGTGGTGCCAGGGCTCCCCAGCCCAGGCTTGTGGGGAATTCACCACCACAGCTGAGGCATTGTTGTTGAGGTGACGTCCTGACCTAGGGTCTCAAGGCAGAAGAGCAAGTGCTGATGAAATTCTCTGTGGCTTCAGCCATGGGTAGTCATGGGGCTGGACCACATTTACTGGCTTAGAGTTGCTACCCTCACACTTCATGCTCTCTCTGGCTGTGGGCGCCATGCCAGAGGTCTGGGGCCTGGCAGTGCAGTCTCCATATGCTGAGGGAGCTCAGGGGAAGGAATGCAGTGATTGGCAGTGGTGTGGTGGAGTGCCCAGCTGGATCAGGTTCTCTGGTCATCCAGGGAAGCTGCCTGGAGGGCATTGGTGATGGAGATGTGAGAGACAGGTGGGTGACAGACGTCCTGGGTATGTCCAGCAGCTTGATCTTGCCACCCCCAAGGTCCTCTAGAGGGAGAAGAGGTTGACTTGAGTCAGATGTTTCTCCCAGCTGGGAGGCCATTCTGGTGATCGGGGCAGGAAGAGTTCCAACAGGCTTCAGGAGAGCCGGAGTCTGGCCTTGGAAGCATGGCAGAGGGCCCCTTCTTGGCACAGCCCCTGTATAGGCAGGGGTTCATGAGCTGTATCTCGGCCTGGTAAGGGTTCCCAGGGACCTTCTCCAGATTCTTGGTGGGGCTGGAGTTCAGAGAAGAGATACCATCCTTAGTCTTCTGCTGCTCTCTGAGACTCTAATTTTGGAAAGCATCATCTTGTAAAAGACCTCCCACTTCTGCCCCTTCACTGACTCTAACCTGCTCAACTGTTAAAAACACTCTGGTACTTCCTCCAACTTATTTAAATTTTAATATTTGATAATGTTTGCATAGTTGAGAAGGATACATGCTCATGTTGCCCACTAATTAGGGTGGAAAGTGTCGAGGAATAGGGAAAAATAGATGAGACTATTTTCTTCCAACTTTCTTTTTCTTCTGTATTTGGGGGAAGGTGGGAGAGAAGGGGAGAAGCCGCACCCAGCATCCTAACTGTATTAGTACCCAGGGTCCCAGATGTGGAGTCAGCCCTAAGAGTACTGCTCAAGTGGGTTTGGTAGTTCTAAAATGCTGTTGAGTTAATTGATCCAAGGATGAGGAAATACTTCCAGGGTCCATCGACTGACATAATCCACCTAGAGTCTCCAATCAACCAGACACTTTTTGTTAATGCTTGGCTGCGAGAGTTGCCCAATTTGTTCTGCCCTACTTCCTCTGCTATGGTACTAGATGTCCTCTATGGGCCCAAATAGACTGCCATTTCCCCATGTGCATCTGAGCATGCCACCCACTGCACTGTCTTTAGCAATTGAGGAGGCCCAGTTCTGACACATGCACTCAATAGTCAGGACACACAGATACTATGAATCTCCCTGTGCTGGAGTTCTGAGTGGAGAGGTTAATTGGAAGTGTCTCCAAAGAAACTTCATGTGAGGTAACCCCCATGCCTGACTCCTGTGTGTGCTAACCAATATGGGGTCCAGCCTAGTCCATCAGCTACATCAGCCTACTTACACACTGGTGGTTGTAGTTGCTGGGTAAGTTCTGTCTTATACCAATCACTCATGCAGACCAATGGATGCTGAGGCCCAGTCCAACCCTGCCCACCACATACTTGGCCCTCATGTACACCAGTGGGAATTGTAGCCCAGTCAGGGTGACCCCCAATTACCCCCAACAGGCCTGCCCTTAGCTCTGGTTCTTATGCATGTTGGTATGTGCAGTGGACTGGTCCAGTCTGTCCTGTATCCCATTTGACCTTTGAACAGACTAATGGATGCTGCAGCCTATCTCAGCCCAGTCAACTCCACTATCCAGCCACATTTATTCTGAAGGGTGCTACTGCCTGTCCTGCCAGGTCTAACCCTAGCTCTGGCTCTCATGCTCACTGGTGGAAGCTTCAGTCCATCAGAGAGGTGCCCACAGTTTCCCTACTAGGCCCAACCTTAGCTCTGGATCTTGTGCTTTCCAGATGGTTTGATATCTACTTTGATAGGACTTGCCCCTATTTTGAGCACTTGTCAGCTGATGCTGTGGCAAAGCCCAATCAGCCCGCATTTATTCTGGTTCCTGGTGTAGCAGAGGATACAATAGGTTTGCCCAGCCTGGTTCTTTGCCTATCCCAGTTCACATGCAGGCCAACAGGTGTTACAGTCCTGCCTAGCCTGGTCTGCTCCAGGTCCTGGTTTTAATGCTTACCAGTGGAAGCTGTGGCCCTGTAGGAGAGTTCTTGCTGCACTTCTAGTTGGTTTGTCCTCAACCCAGGTCTCACGTGTCCTGGTGGGTGCTGGGACCCAGTCTGGCATGGCTTGTGCCACCTCTGCATTTTTTAGTGGGTGATGCAGCCTGGTCTGGCACTGTCTGCACCTAGTTCCAGCTCATGCTGTTGGGTGATGCAGCCTAGCCCAGGCCAGCCAGTCCTCAATCTTGGCCTTAATGTGACCTGGCTGTTGTTGTAGCTCTGTCTCTACACAAATCAATGGGTATTGCAGCCCAACCCCATCCTGCCCACCACACATATAGCCTTCACACAAACCAGTGAGAGCTGCAGCCTAGTTGGAGTAACCAGCAATAACCCCCACCAGGCCTGCCCCCTGCACTGTTTCCCATACTTGTACAGCAGACTGGTCCTGTCTGACCCATGTCCCACTCAGCTCTCATACATGTCAATGGGCATTGAAGCCTAGTTCATCTCAACCAGTTCCACTATCCAGTCCACACATGCGGGTTCCACTCTGTCTAGCAATGCCTGCCCTAGTTCTGGTTCTCAGGCTCACTAGTTGGAGTGGCAACCCAAAGGGGGAGGTGCCTACTGTTTCCTAACTGGGCCAACTCCCACTCCTGGATCTTGCACTCTCCAGGTGGTACTGCTGTTTAGCTTGACAGAATTTGTCCCTTGTGCCAACATCTGCCAGGTGATGTGGCAAAGCCCAACCCACTCACACCCACTCTGAATTGTGCATGCACCAGAAGATAAAGGCTGCCCAGGCTAGTTTTCCCCTGATCCAGCTTACATGAGGCCAGCAGGAGTTGTAGTCCTGCCTGGCCTCGTTGTCCCTGATCCCAGCTCTCATGTTCCACCAATGGGAGCTGTGGCCCAGAAGGGAGTCCCCCACCCCGCAGCCTCCCTACTGGGTTTGCTCCCTATCTTTCCCCTGCCCCCGGGTCTCACATGTGCTGGTTGGGTGCTGTGGCTTGGCCTGGCATGGCCTGCCTCACCATGGCATTTGCCAGTAGGTGCTGTAGCTGGCTCAGCCTGGTCCACCCTCAATTCCAGTTTATGTTGGTAGGGGCTACTACTTAGCCCAACCCAACCTCCAATCCCAGCCCTAATGTGGACTGGCTGGCATTGCACCCATAGAGCTGGTTCTTTTGTGTGATGGTTGATGTCATGACCCAGTCTAATGTGACATATCCACTGATCTGACACTCACTATCAGGTACTGGGATCTAGCCCTGCCAGACAGGTCCCTAGCCCTAGCTTTCATGCTGGCTAGTGTGTGGTGGTCAGCAATGATCCATGCTAACAAAGTCAGCTTAGGTCTCCCATGTAGGCTGGTGCATCAGTCTGAACCAGAAATGTCTTCCAGTCTCTCCCCTCCAAACCACCATGTCTCAGTCCCCTCACTTACCTACAAGAACAGTGACCCTGTTGTTGGGTGTTCCTCAGGATTCATTCCTTACCTATATGTATGGTGGCTTTATCCATGGAAGCCCCCCAAGGCCCCAGAACTCGCTACCTAGCAGTAGTGGATGGGGAGCGAGGATCCCCAGCAGGAAGCCTGGGCTGACATGGGTACCCCAGGGGACGCAGGCTCCAATGATGCTGCTCAAAATTACTGGATTTCATCCACCAACATGGTGGCAGTGGATGGAGTTATGATCCTGGGCATACCCAGAGCTGCCTGAGATTCGTCCCCAGCATGGTCGCTATGGACAGAAGAAATTCTTGGATCTTGGGCCAGGACTCTTTCCCCAATCTGGCAGTAGTGGATGGGAAGTTAGGATTCCCAGCAGGAAGCCTGGGTCAGCATGGGTACCCCCAGCCACAGCCATGATTCAATCTACAATCATTGTGCCCAGCAGTGTATGGGTGCTCCAGCCCAGCCTTCAGAAGCCCAGTGGATGGTGTGCTGATTTGAGGTTCTCCCCACACACTGGAGTCCCAAGCTCCTGGCACATGTGCTGGCCTGTTGCCTTCCTCCTCCACTCACCCAAGATCCAGGTCCATCAGCACAAGAGGGCAGCATTCTGTCCTGGGGCCCTCCCTCCTCTCTCCTTGCCCAGGACCAAGCACATGGGAAAATCCCTAGGTTCGCTTTACCTACCTAGAAGTGAGCTCCCAGGTCCCCACATGTCCACTGTGTCATAATCTTATCCCTCCCCTACACTAAGCCTGCACCCATAGACCCCAATGGGTGTGGCTATCTGCTTTCAGTCTTGATTATTGCACTCACAAGCAGGGACTGTGACCTGACAGAGGAGTTCGCCAAGCTCCTCTATCAG